AGAGTGGGTCTCAATTTGGAGTTGTCTCATGTGCCGTATGATTTGATTTGTTAGGCATCTTTGTCAGGAATATCACAGAACTGATGTGTTCTGGTGACACAGGATTTTGTTTGTTCTGTTACTCATAATAATTTATCACTTAAGTTGGTGTCTGCTAGCCTTTTCCATTGTAAAGGTACTCTTTTTCTCTTTGTAAGGAGTAAGTATTTTATGTGGAGGTATTTTTAAATTATGTAAATATCTTGTTCCTCATCAAGCTTTCAATATGTTAATATCAGTATAGAACTGGTTTCGTATTTTACTCAGTGGGTTGTAATTTGTTGCTGTCATTATTTATTTGACACTCAAATTGCCCAAGATTTGGCCTATAGAATACCTTGATGCTGGCTTGTGTGTCCTTTTGACATGTCCCCATCTGATTCAAGTGGCTGCCATTATCCTCCAGACCAAAAATCTGATCTTCCCTATTTTTAGTATAAATCTCTGCTGTGAATACTACCCATATATTAGAAGCATGTATTTTTTTCTCCACAGAGTCACTGAGTTCCAAGTAACGTATGCAACTTGTGATAGGTGCCCTCACGTTATTCGAGCTCCATTTTAAACTTTTCTTGTCCCCCTCATCTGTTAAATGAGGGTGTTAGTTTCAACTTGAAAATTTTATGAACCTATGATTCAAAATACATTTGATAATTAGGGCCTAAAACACCTTGTCTTTCTTTGTATCTGTGCCTGTTATTGATTGTATTCTCAAAACAACTTTGACCTTTACTTGGATATTATTAGAGGTCAGTGCCACTGGATGTTGGCTTCACTGTAGCAATTTAATATTTTGATTGTCTATATTCAAGTGACAAGATTGACAATTGTTAGCATATTGTTTTATGTATATAAAGGTTTATCCTTTGGCTAATGACTAAATCCAATTCAAATATAGCCTTTCTATATCAGGTTGAGTAGATTGTGGTTTTATTCAGTCTAAGTTACCTCATTTGATTGATTCTTACTGAGGGCAACCTGTTTTGTTCAAATGGATTTTATTAGAGTCAGAATTTCCAAATGTAGCTCCCTTCACTGTGACCACAATTAACTATCATTTTAAAAGTAATATAAGAAGACTACATTGTCTTTTGTAAAATTAGAACACTTCAGATAAATTTAATGGGCCCTTCGACGTCAGCCTGAACGTTGTTTGGCCTTACTATGGTTAACCATTATTATGAGTTTTGTGTGTCTGGAGAAGGTTGAAGTTTCAGATTGAAATGGCTCACTGAATCCTAGGAAGAAGTAAGAAAGATAGGGATCTTTATATGTACCAGTGAAATACATGCATTTCAAGTGTAAAGAGGAAAATCTTGACATACTTCCACTTTAAATGAACTAATTGCTTAAATAATGTAATAATAACAGCAGGTAACATTTATTAGTTACCATATGCCAGGGCTTCTTCAAGTGCTAACACATGTGGTACTCTTAATGCACACAACAAATGGCCTCACTTTACAGAAGAGGGAAAGGGGCATAAGTAGTTTAGTAATCTGCCCAGGATCATGCATCCAATGTGATGACGTTGGAATTCAAACCCAAGTAGTCTGGTTGCAGGCTGCCTGCTATTAATGACTGTGTTCTGCATGTAGAAAAATCAGATTAGCATTGGACTTCTCATCTGTGGCACTGGAAGGAGAGGACAGACACATGTCTTTTGCAAAATCTGTCATTTGTCACTGCCAACAAACTGCATCTTTGTGTATGTAGAAATCAGAATATATGCTACTCCTGAACCCTCTTTGACAAAAATAAGTAAGGAAAATGATCTCAAGATAGAAGACTTAGAATTTTTAAGATGTTAAGTAAAAATGTTCTAAAGGGAGTGATATGGGAGAAGTGAAAGTTAATTTGTATTGGTGGGATTGCTTAGTTATTTAATTTGATATAGTATCAGAGAAATATCAGTTAATCATAACTATTGGAATGGAAAGCACAATAAAAGCTTTCCAAATGACAGAAGAAGAAAAGGAAATGTGGAGACATGCAACCATGTCAGTGAAATACCAAGGTAAAGAAGGAAAAGAAACATTTGATAAATTGTGGCAAGAAAATGAGATGGGAGGAATGAAATGAGATGTATGTCTGTTATTAAATGTGAATGAGCTAAAATGTCCTCAGGAATCAGATATTGAAAATTCCACAATTAGGGGAGGGAGGGAGAGAGAGACTCTGCAGTGTGTGTGTGTGTGTATTAATTAAATGACAAAGAAAAGTTGAAACTGAATGATTGAACAGAGGTAAACCAGGCTAATGTAAATAAAATAAAGCCAAAGTGGTAATATTAATGTCATACAAAGAAAATTCAAATCAAAAGCACTAAATAGATGTGTATTCACGAGTACTAGTTACAGTCTTTGAAGATGCTACAATAATCACAAATCCTTTTTTATTGAGATATAAGTGACATACAACTTTATATTAATTTCAGATGTACAGCTTAATGATTTGATATTTGTATACATTGTGAAATGATCACTCAGTTAAATAATTTTTTTTCTTGTAATGAGAACTTTTAATTTTTAAGACTGTTAACAACTTTCAAATATAGCATATGAGAACAGCAATGTTAACTGTAGTCAACAGAGATTTTGCGTATTTCCTTGTCTATGATCCAAAATATTAGTAGAAATCAATGACAAGTTGAACCAAAAAATGGGTACTTGGAAATATGTAATATTCTTCCTAAAAAAATAAAAAAATACCCTGAAGAGAAAGAACATTTAAAACTGATGTTACAGATTATCTAGAACTGTGCTGTTCAATATGTTAGTGACTAGCCACATAACAGCTGTTTAAATTTATGAATAATTTAAAATTTAAAATTCAGCTCTTGAGTGGCTCTAAGTTCACTTCTTGTGCTTAATAGCCATACATGGCTAGTGGCTGGCTGCCAGATTGGACAGTACAGATAAAGAACATTTCCATTCTGGCAGAAAGTTCAATTGGACAGCCCTGATCTAGAAAGTACTGCAAATGAAAACACTGTATTGACTTATGGGACATAGCTAACTGGTATTTGGAGAAAAATTGAAAGCCGTTAATACCTTGCATTATTTAAAATAAAGGAAAGACTGAAAATAAGTTAAATACTCAAGATAATAGAAAAACAAGAAAATAAACCAAAGAAAGACAAGAAAAAATTTTAATTTTCTTAATTAAGAAAATAAATTTTTTTAAATGAGATAGAAATAGAACAAAATACTGAAATGGATTAATAAAAAGTAGAGATTCTGAGCAGACTATAACTGTTGAAAAGGAAATAAAAAATACTTATTAGTTGACATAGCGATATGTACTCTCCAGCTGAGTTATATTTACATTTAAAAAAGTAGAGTTTGCTTTTATTTGTTTTAGCCAATGGTGGACAGCTTTTAAATATATTTTTCTGAAGCTAGTATAATCTTATACCAATACTTGGTAAAGATAATTTTTTAAGAAAAACAATTTTCAGATGCAAAAATTCTAAATGAGCTTTTAGCTAATTTAATCATATGCTAATAAAAGAATAGTATTTTCTGGGAATACAAAGATAGTTCACAATAGAAAACCTATCAACATAATTTATTGCATCAACAGACTAAAGGAGAAAAGCCATGTGATTCTGTTAGTGGATGCTGAAAAGACATTTGATAAAATAATTAAAACACTTAAGTGTAATAAGAATTATGGAAGAAACTACTCCAGTTATGGGAATAATCATAGCACCTACTACAGAGAGTTGTGAGGATCTAATGACTCAACACATGTAAAATACTTAGACCACTGACTGCATGTCAAAGTTATTCAGTGTTAGCTCTTTTTGTTATTTAAATGTGATAAAGTTGATATGTAAAAAAAATGGACTAATATTTTATCTAATGGCAAAACAGTTTGATTAAAATTATAAATAAGACAGAGTTGTTTGGGAGTTGGCTAAGTGGCTCATTTGGTTAAGAGCTCTCTCAAGAGTGTGAGCTCTGAACATCTAGCGGTTCAATTCCCAGCCCGAGCTGAGCTGCTGCTGAGCTGCCAACAGGTGGCAGGATGGCTCAGCTAAAAAAAAAAAAAAAAAGAGTTGTTTGTTCTTACCCCTATATTAAAAAATCATTTTTGAAGTTGTTTCATTTCTCTAAATACAATAACAATAGAAAATGAAGTAGCTGATATAAAAGAGGAGATAAAATATTTTAAATTACAAATGGTGCCATTTACATACCTAGAAAACCCAAGATACTAAAGACTAATAAAATACTCAGAGATAAGTTTAACAAAACAGTTCTGTAGCAAGAAAATGAAAATGATTATATCTTTAAGTTAGAATTTAAGGAAAGTCAAATCACATCTCAATAAAAATTGTCACCCTTTCTAAAACTAGCATATGAATTTCATTAATTTCAGTTAGAAACCTAGTACATTCTTTTATGAAATTGGATAAGATGATTTTAAAGTTCATGTGGAAAGTATATTTCTAAAACTACCCAAGAAAATATACTATATAGTTAATTCAATTTTTTGTTAACAGTCTCTCTTCCTCCTCCCTGCTATAAACAAATATGTGTATGAAGAAGGTCGAGTAAGAAAACAGTCATGCCATTTTGGTGACATTTTTACCTCCCTTATTTCAGTGTAGATAATCCATGGAGAGCTAGAGGGGTGATCATACACTATTTCTTTATATATTATATACTCTCTCACTCGTTTTTAATTGATCTAATATAGAAAAGGTAGTAGAAAAAAGTTTAATGACTTTTCACTCATTAAAGCTATAATCCTGTTTTAGTTAATCTGCTTATTAAAGCATATCATTGATTGTCATAGGAGATATTAAAGAAATTTTTCAGATTTTTTTTTATACATACTTAAAATGGAAATATATCTTCTTTTAGCTTCCTGAACGTTTGATGCTTTCTACAATTCTTAACTCAAAATATCTGAAAAGAATTTTCTCTCTTCTTTTTCTGTCTCCATCAAAGGTATGCAACCACTCATGTATTCAGTTCAAGAAGCATTAAATTCCAGACCATGGTGGACTCGTGTGGGGACTGACATTTGTTACTATAAGTAAGTATTCTAAGAATAATAGGACATCAGCTTATGGAGGGGCTGTTAACTTAATTCTATTTCAGTTTAAAGATAAAAAGTAATTATTTCATTCTTTGAGTTGGGTGATATGCTTTAGTATTTTTAAATTTTTATTAAATTTATTGGGGTGACATTGGTTAGTAAAATTATATAGGTTTCAAGTGTACAATTTTATGATATGTCATCTATATATTGCATTGTGTGTACCACCCAGAGTCAGTTCTCCTTCCATCATTATATATTTGATCCCCTTTAGAAGAGGTAGACATGCTTCAGTATTACTTCTAACAGAGTCCTTAATATTTGACATCCATTTACGGGATATAGTTAGTGGAAATACAGTGGACTCTTGAACAACACAGTTTCAACTGTGCATGTCCACTTATATGTAGATTTTTTTCAATAAATGCCTGTAGTGTTTTGGATCCGTGGTTGGGATCCCGTAGATGCAAAAGGCTGACTATTCATTGATCTAACGCCATATTATGTATATAGGGGACTTGCACATCCTCTAATTTTGGTATCTGCAGGAGTCCTGGAACAAATCCCCCATGGATGCCAAGGGACAACTAGTGTAGTTAAGTTTTGGGAGTGCCAAAGTTATACTTGGATTTTTGACTGTGAGGAGGTTGGCACCCCTAACCTCAAAGCTGTTCAAGGGTCAACTGTAAAATGTGTTTTATATAGACTGATAGACTTAGGTACAAATCTTTGTCTCCACCACTTAGATAGCTACTCATATGTGTCCTCAACTTTTTTAGCTTTAAAACTCTGAAAGCTTCATTGAATAAAACTGAAATTAGAAATTCTAGGAAATAATTTACAGTGGCTTTTTGTTGTTCCCATGGTATTAAGTACAATTCTTATCTTTTCTCTTCTGCATACAAATATTTACCTCATTTTAATTTCCAAAATATTTTATTGGGAGAGGTATTCCACAGTTGTGTCAGCTTATACAGTTCAACTTTGACTTCAAATGGTTCCCTACTTACTGAGTTGGAAACAAGTACTAGGAATAATTTATTGCTTCAATGGAATGATTGGATTATTCTTCAGATTCACTGTAAATAATTTAGGATTATCATATTCCTTGCTTCCCATTTTGTTTCTACATGTAATATGTTTCCAGATATCTATTGAAAGCAGTTGACACCCCTATTCTGTTATTAATCTTAATCCTGACATTTTTGTTTAGAGGATTTTGACTTTTAATATTGTGTTTAACTAGCACTAATATAGTTTAATCAGTTAGAAGAGGCCTTCTAAACTGTTTTCAGTGGTTTATAATGTGGCTTTGGAAAAACTTAGGTCTTAAATGCTGTTACTTTCTGGGAAAGGAAATGTTCCTTGGAATTCACATCAGTAGGGTTTTTCCTCCACTTTTATTAGCAAAATAAATAGTAAATAAATGAGGAACAAAAGTGTAAGGTTATATGTAATTCAACTGTACCTGAATAAATTTCATATATTTTTTTAATGGTGGGCTAATACAAAAATACTCTCATCATTTATTTCTTTGTCAGAATGATTTAGACTGCTAAAGGATAAAACAGTGTTTTTCAAAAAGTGTTATTTTTTTCGTATTTCATTTCTTTTGCACAATAGAAATCATCAGTCAGAGAATGATTTTCTTTTTTACATTGTAAAGTGAGTGGTCATAGCATGACAGAAGGTTGTTTTATTCTACGTGAAAGGAGTAATGGCAAGGTTTTTGTTTGTTTAGTTTCGTTTTTGTTTTATCTTTTGGCTATTTCCAGATCTGGAATCGCAATTCAGTTCAATTTAGCATACATTTATTACACCTTCTATGTAACAAGCACTTTCCTAGTTGTTTTCCCAAAGCCTGAAACCCAGATAGTGAGGATTAAAGTCTACTATTTTTGCATTGTGCCTTTACTTTTCACATCAGCCAAGTCCTCCAGTGCTTGTTTGTCTCATCTGTAAAATGAGGATAAAACGGGCTTCCACCCGATGTGAGAGAATATAACCTAGAAATTACCTTATAGCTATAATGTGGTGATATAAATGCTTTCCAATTAGATGTTAAATTTTTGGAGGAAAGGAGCTGGAAGGGTGTAGTTCTGGAACTTGCTTCGCATTTTCCTCAACCTGTAGCACCTTGTCATTGAGTATGGATTCAAGATATAATGG